AGCAGTTACACCCAGAGAATCAGAAAGTCGTGCTTTCCATTTGTGACCTTGTGATGACTTATTAGTGACAAACCCGCAAAAACTTAAAAGAATAATAAAACCTCACTCCCCTCAGCTCCACAGCTACTTGTGGCATTTGTGTCAGATGGTGAAGAATGTAACAGACGGGTTCAAATACAAAGCCCTACCTGCCAGAGTGACAATGCAGAGTGTGCCAGAGTCCCCAGACTCCTTTTAAGCTTTGACAGCCTTTTTGTTCCCCCCTTGTTCGGTAAAACTGAAGCAACTCTTAATTACCTGATAACATGCCGTTCTTCATTTACTGTACTCCCTTTTTAGTGCAAGAAAATAGCCACGGTGGTGTTTATCCGTCATACCTTTAAAGCGGAGATGTCATACTTAAACACGAAACGCAAATCCATCTGCCATCATTGGTGCCATCACTGGAGTGCGTTGAAAAGCGGTGTGGACCTCCCGCGGCTGAAGCGACCCTCCCTCTGTGTCCCTGATCCACCCCCCACCCACACTCAACTTGTCACTTCTCTGACAGCTCGACAAACTTTTTTTTCCTCCCGTTTTTTTAATGCGGGCCTCACAACCTCGTTCATGCACAAACTTCTCTCCGGGGCCTGTTACTTTGCGCAGGGGAAACTTTTTTCTTTCTTGTTGTTAGTTTCTGGAGGAGGCTCGGAGTCGGAGAGATGAGGCTCGGTTAAACTGAGCTACCGCTCATTTCCAGCCATGACTGGGCTGTCACATTGCGTGACCATCCATGAGTGAATCCACAGAGTCATCAGCCTCTCCGGCCACACCACGCCCCTGCCAACCTCCACAAAACCGTGCGCAAAAAGTTGCCAAAAGTTTAGAAACATTCCCAAATTATGACCCCCGGGCGCTGAAAATAGTAATAGTTACTCGTTTTAGGAGGCAGGCAACATTAAATAGCCGTGAGGTCTTTAAAAGGCCGATCCTGTGGACACACTACAATCTGTCCAAGTCAAACGTTACTTAATAAAAACCTGATATGTGGTTATAAAGAGCAAAATGTGGAGGAGAAGACAGAGAGTGTAAGGCAAGATGATTCTCTCCCAGTGTGGGAAAAAAAAATCCCCTCTTATCCCAAATTTCAGTAAAGTAAATAAAACTGCACATAATGCACACAGGTCTGTTTTTACAGATTTATTTAAAAATTTAAAAAAAAAGTCTCATAGAGCAAAATAAGTTGAAGGATCAAAGTGCAAGTGAAATAATAATAATAAAAAATGTCAGATTTAATCATTTCTTCTTAGAAAGCTGTTTGCTCATTAGTGTGCAGTTTGCTTTTAAAGGCAGACTAATAGAAACTGTAATAATAATAATAATAATAACAATAATAACAACATGTTGAAATAGGAATAATCAGGATTATCCCATAAAAACAATAGAAAGTACATCGCTGTTATAAAAAAAAAAAACATATGTAGCATCAGAAAATGTCATTAGGCTTGTTACAGAAAGCTAGAAGTCAAAGGTCAGTGCAGAGCAGGCACACAGACTAGTTTTGGTCCCAGCTGCATCACTTATGTAACACCAGTATACAGCTCACTGTGGTTTCTTTTTAATTATGGTGGAATCGACACGTCTAACTAACACTTTGGCAACAGTCTGACTGATCCCGCTCGGCTATTCCTGGATGGAAGAAGGACAAAGACATTTTCACGGCCACGGTGCCTAGCAGTGATTAGTCTGGTGGCTAAAATAAGGCACATGCTGAAAGCTGATACAGCCAGCTGGGGTCAGTACACACTGCAAGAAAAACAATGCAAGTTCAAATAACACAGGAGCAGATCTGGGGCTGAGCGACTTCTGGTGTTTCCAAAAAAGCAGGATTGGAAGTCACAAGGTGAATGAGGAGGAACCCTATCTGAATGTGAAATGGTCAAAGTAAATTAAACCTACACCCTATAAACTTGAAAAACATGAAATCCTAACACCTAAAAGAGTACACAGTATCATGACTCCTGTGTCACGTCACTGGTTTCAGCCTTCTTTTACATTAGATCCAGTCTGGAATTCAGTTTCACAGAAAATAATTCACATGTGTGCAGCATGATCTGTTCAGGAGGATTCTTCAACTTGCTGGCAGTAGATGAAAAAACCATCTGATACAGTACAAACATATACGTTCTTCATATTTTTGAATGAAATGGTATGCACGTGTGAAATTTTTTGTCGTCTAACACATGTAAAGAAACATTTACAACCCCCCAAAAAGAACCTATGAAGTTGATCAAACAGCGAAGATCAGTGATTTCATTCTAAAACAGACAAATCAGACTTGATTCATTAAGCGTAATCACATCAGGTACTGTAAACTTAAAATCAATCTCATTTGAAATCAAACATCAGCTGAAAGCTAAACATACTCTGCTTCTCTTCTCAAAACTTCATTTGTTCTGATAAATCGATCACTCAGGCTGTTGTGAAGGCGTTTGTGCTCGTTAAGGGTCCACTGTCACCACTAGATGTCAGTGTAGGCTCATTTTTCAGGCAGATTTCGCCACGTTCAAGCAAATTTCAACTGTGGACAGTAAAATGGTTGTAACCACTCAGTGTTTGACACTTGTCTTATTCTTTACGTTACTATCTGGCAATGTGTTTGTTCGGAGAACTCAGTCAGGTCCTTACAGTCAACCCCAACTATACAGACTCCAAAGCTGTTTCACTATCTCGTGAGACAAATCCCAGTAACCAAGACGTAGACACAACTCGTGAGGTTGGATTTACAGTATACACTTTGTCTTGTCTCTCTTTAACACATGGTTTTGTTGCTGGATGAATCTGTGGAAGAAGACAGCAGCATTTCATTCTTCTTGTTATCCCGTGTCACGCTGTCTGGGTAAGTGTGTTTCCTCCTGCTGGACCTTGTCATGCATCTCATGACCGCCTTTACAATGAGGTAGAAGAGCTCGGCCACATTCAGCACCATGCAGATGGCAGATGAACCCACCATGAAGATGGTGAAGACGGTCTTTTCAGTTGGCCTGGAGATGAAACAGTCCACCTTGTTGGGGCAAGGCCACTGCTCGCACTTCACCAGCCGGGGCATCTGGAAGCCGTCGTAGACAAAGTAGAGCGCATACATAAACCCCCCCTCAAAGATGAGCCGGAAAAACAAGCTGCAGGTGTAGGTCCACCACAGAGTGCCTGTAATGGGCAGGCGCCTCTTCTTTAGCGTCTGCAGCTCAGTATCTGTCATCTTTTCAGTGCCATTGGAGGCCAGCATGTTCCTCTTATCACCCCGTTTTCTGTAGGCGACGTGCATGGCCACCAGCAGGGCCGGCGTGGATACAAAGATCAGCTGCAGGCACCACATGCGGATGTGCGACACGGGGAAGAAGTGGTCGTAGCAGACGTTTTTGCAGCCGGGCTGCTGCGTGTTGCACGTGAAGTCTGACTGCTCGTCCCCCCAGACGCTCTCCGCAGCCAGGACCAGAATCGTGATGCGGAAGATGAAAAGGACAGAAAGCCAGATCTTTCCCAGGCTGGTGGAGTGCTTGTTGACGCCACCTAGCTGGGCGTAGAGAGCACCCCAACTCATTGCGGCCAAAAGGAGTCCGGAAGCTGAGACAGCCTGTGGAATTCAGCAGAAAGTTAAAAGGCTAGAAAAATCCAGAGTGCTGGAGAAAAACACCTGCTGGTGGCCTTGTTTTATGGCATATTTATGTTGTTAAAAAGGTGCGAGTGTGTGTGCAATTAGAAAATTATCATTATTTTTCAGATGCATATATTGTGGATGACTTGTGGGGTTTTAAATCATTTTTAAAGGGCTGAAAGGTTACATTTTCGGCTACACATGACAAGGTGTATAACAGAGTTGGCATTACATTGTCAAAAAGAGGACGGGAAAGCAAACTGTATGGATCTATGGTTTTAATGCAGTTAAAGGGCATTTTAGCAGCCAAATAATGTTGCAAGCAAAATGAAAAAATATGTATTTGTAGTTAAAAAATAATAATTTTTTCACAAAAATCTAAAAATACACAACCACTCGTTTCCCTGAAAATAAGAGCCCCAAACTCATTCTGACAGTATACTGAAAAGTATTGGGAAGACCAGTGTCACCGGCGCCTCCTTAATTCATACTCCTACCTCAGACTAGCATCTGCCAGCTTAAACCAACTGCACTCAGACTGAAGGGGCCCACGGGTTAAATAAGCAGCTGCTGCATAACCGATCATTCAAGGAGCTAACACTTTAAAATATCTAAATTCGACACATTATTTCTAAAAAATATTTTCACTTTTTTGTGCAGAATATTGCGGTGGCATTAGCAGATCGAATTGAAATTAAACTCACCTGTTTTTGTGGAGTTTATCCTAAACAGATTTTTTTAAGCTTCCACCAAGCTGGGGAAACAATCAGTCCTGTTCTCTTCTGTGCGTCTCAGTAGAATCGGTTTGGCTGGTTTGGGACAGACTCGACTTGTCTTGTCTATAAGTAGTGAGTGAGGCGCACACAGATTATCCATCATCCCTCCTGCAAACTGGGAGGGAGGGGCCAAGCTCGAGGCGGGGCCAACCAGCAGAGTTATTAGTCTCTAATTAAAATTTACGCACGCATTTAATGTTAATGTGACTTCACCTAATAATAACAAAAGGTAGCCCTTCCCCGCCCACACACACATATATATATATATAATATTTACAATATAAAAACAATATTTCATAGTTTATAGAGCCACAAACCTGCACTAGAACACCCAGAGTGTGATATATGGTTGTCACTATTGGACCTATATCAGTGTGAAATTTAAATCTTTCACAGCCCTCCTGATGTGTTTCCTTACGATTTGGGAACTTACCCGTCACAGTTATGCGAGCACATGGTGGCAGTCAGCAGAGAGTACTCAACCCAGAAATATGTAGTGAAATGTCATTATTTAATTTCTCCTCATTATCAGGATCACAAAAACACTCATCTCTTTCTGTTGTGTGGCTATCAAAACAATTACATAAATGCGTTATTGTGTTCTTTTTTATTAATCAAAACACTGATTCACATTTTCAAGAAATTTGTTTACACAAGAGACCATTAATGTGGCTGAATGAGATCATTGTTTTTCACATATTACCACAGTCGGTTTTGTAACCAAGATGTAGAGTAAAAGTTAAAACGTGCTGTAGATTTAGAAAAAACAAAAGACCGGTTAAAATTGTATTCATAAGGAGTAGCAATCCAGAGTTATGTTCTAATACTGCTAGTACTCATCATATAAGGAAGATTGATCATTACTCATTTTAAAAAAGTGCCGTTTTTCAGTCAAGGTATGCCTGTTTAAAGAAAAAAAGGTCTTCATTATATGTTGAACTCAACAATCACATTTCTACCTAATTAAGTTGTTTTTCTTGAGTTTGAACCCTGAGCTTATTAGTCCTTCTTCAGCTTGGCCAGACGCATGAGGAACTGGTCCCTCCTCTCCTGCCTGGCTGCCAGATGCTGCTGGTCACAGGGAATGAGCTCGTACATCTCCTGTGGACGGCACAGAAGGAAAAGCTAGGTGAGCAAAGTGGAATGGTTGCCATCTAGGACTTCGGACATGTCTAGTGGGGGAAATAACTATTTGCTCAACTGCTGAATTTTTACGTTTGCTCACTGAGAAAAAATGAACAGTTTCTATTTTTTAACAGTAGGTTCATTTTAAAATGAAGCTTCTCAGCCGTAAAGCTAAACTAAATATCCTTTTGGGGCGATCCTGGCTCAAGAGTTGGCAGTTCGTCTTGTAATCGGAAGGTTGCTGGTTTGAGCCCCGGCTCCGACAATCTCGGTCGTTGTGTCCTTGGGCGAGACACTTCACCTGTTGCCTACTGGTGGTGGTCAGAGGGGCCGGTGGCGCCAGTGTCCGGCAGCCTCGCCTCTGTCAGTGCGCCCCAGGGCGGCTGTGGCTACAATGTAGCTGCCACCACCAGTTTGTGAATGGGTGGATGACTGAATGTGTAAAGTGCTTTGGGGTCCTTAGGGACTAAGTAAAGCGCTATATAAATACGGGCCATTTATCATAATCTTTTAATAACGTCTTAGCTTTGAAACAGTGACATCCATGGCCGACACTTGCACAGATCAATGTGCATGCAGTGCTGCCCTTGTTCTTGTGATCACAGAAGGCAAACGAGTCCACCTTAAACTATTTAATGCTCCAGCTCAGGGTGTCCTTACAAGATGACCTTCTGTGGCTAACATGTTAACCGCCTGTGACAGCATGTGACCAATTAATTTCTACTTAGGAGAAAGCTTTATGGCTCAGAGGTGAGTAGAAACTGCTGAATTTCAGTCATCCAGAACTAAACACACAATAAATAATGAAGAAAATAATAAATTAAGATATGTATATTAATATAGACATTCCGTGTCTTTGATCTGAATTAACACACATTTATTTATTTATTAAAAAAAAATTTGGGAGCCTATTGAATACTGAATTGCTCTTTGGGGGCTCAGGTGGCACTTTATTAAAACACTGCAAGGTCTCAAGAACACCCCTGAAAAACAAGGACCCTCTTTTTCACTGTATCGAAACACTAACCAGATATTTTGGTCCATACTGACATGACAGCATCACACAATTACTGCAGATTGTCAGCAGCACATCTATCTATGTCCCTTTTTACCACATCCCACAGGTCTTCTCTTGGATTGAGATCTGGTGACTGTGGAGGTCATTTAAGCACAGTGAACTCAATGTCACGTTCAAGAAACCAGCTTGAGATGATCTGAGCTTTGTGACATGCTGGAAAACCAAATTCTGATGCTGCAGCACGCAAAATCCAGAAATTTAGACAGCTTCTCTGGTCCAAGGTGGAAAAGTGCTCCTTGAACCGAAAACTGAAATACTTTTTGGAAATCACAGACACTAAATTCTGTGGAGCTAAAGAGAAAAATAACAATTTAAGAACACACACATAATCAAAACCTGTTGGTGTGCATAACATCTGTGAAGGCACCATTAATGCTTAATGATACATACAGATTATGGAGAAACATTTCCTGCCATTCACATGTCGTTTGCATCAAAGGTCTCACTGATTTCAGCAAGACAATGCCAGATCACATTGTTTAAATAGTGCAACAGTATGGCTCCATTACTCTTGAGAGCAGATCTGTCACTTATTCAAAACATTTTTAGACTGCACCAATAACATTTCCTGGTTTCATCCACTGATATCTTTCAGGTATTTTCAAGTACATGATTTTGGGTTATGGTTGTAGTTTATATTTATACATCATAAGTGAGTGTGTTTATTGAGAGAAGGTTTCACTGTAAATACAACTCTGTAACCATCACACTTACATTAATGACGCTCTTGGCTGCTTCACCACAGAAGTCCGGCACAGGCCCAAAGGAAGACAGCATCCTTGTTATATTTTCACTATATCGGCTCATGTAGTCTTCCAAACCTGCGGGGAGGACACAGCTGTTCAGTGATGGGGAAGTCCATGTTGATCATCATTTCAAATAATGAATGTAGATCATTTTTATTTAAAATACCACAAAGATTCAAAGGCAGTAAAGTCACACAAAGTGAAAGTGATGTAACTGCAAACAGAAACAGAAACATGTATTTCTAGATTATGAGGGGATGGGCACAGGTGCGGCTGCGGTGCCAACTGGAAATTTGTTTTTGTCTAAATGCTTTCCTTCTGCTGGTTTGAACGTTTGACACACGCTTGATATTTTGAGAAAAGGGACATGCTAGCTCCTCTATATTTCTGTGTTCATTTGCAGGGCTGCTATCTCAGTGCTTCAGAACCAGTAATATTAAGTAATGAGTTTTCTCTTTCTCAATGTTAAATGTCTCATAAATAACAGTTAGATCCTGCTTTGACACTTTCTGTGTTAATTTAACTTTTAGCGCTGTTCATTGAAGCTGTTCTCTCATTTATTAACCTATAGTGACTCATTTGTGATGTAGGCAGACCGCATTTTGGCTAATCACTGACTGACTTGTCGTGAAAGTTTAAAATAAATGGGTTTGTGAAGCCTGCTACTACAAGCTTCAGTTTAATAGTGTATTTATAAGGATTAGGGTAGTATCCAGTATGTTACATGTGTGTATATGCCAGTGGAAATGTCTAACACCAGCCCCTTGTTGAGCGTTATTACACGTTGCTGTTTAAAGTGGATTGCTATGCTCATTTGCAGCTCCACAATCTTATTCTTGGACTCTATTAGAACAGCTTTGCATGATTCACAGTTCTAAATAATGCTATTTTACTAAGCCTTGGTGCACTCGAGGTTCAGCCAATGTGAGAAATAATCTATTTAACCTTGTTTCCACCTCCCTTTAAGCTTTCTTCCGACTGAAGATCAGAAGATTTACTGAGTGAGGTTTCTGTGCTTAAAGCCTGTAAAAATCTATGAAACAAAGCACTCAGGACAATAGCAAACGTTTAGTAGCTACTAAGTGTGATGATGAAAGTTCTGGACAGAGAAACAGAAAAGTTTGCAGGTTTTGTAAGGGACGTTTCGTACTTCAACTATACATTACTACTCACAGAAGTATTAAAACGGGGGAGCTATATGATTAAGATTCCTATATCTAACTGTAGGGTTAGAATAATTAATAAAATATTGTCATTACAATAAAACAAAATGTGGGATGTGACTAATGCCTGAGACCAAGAGGTTATGCAGTATGAAAATCATACCATGTATATATGAAATGGGAAGCAGTATCCACTGCCCTCTAAATAACATGTAATTAATGTATATAATGCTACTACCTATAATAGTTTAAAGAGATCTTGGATTTATTTTTCTATAAACTGACAGTTTGTACAATTTCACTGCTACTCTCTCCTAAAATACCAGCAGGCATTATTTCTAATAAGAGTTCATGTCATGAGCTTGCTGGGTTATCTAGCTTGCAACCAAATGTTTGTGGATAAAATATATAGTGTGTCCTAGATTGGACGCAGAAAAAGGAGCACCTCTCACAGCTAATGATCAATCAAAGAGGAAACACAGGTCCCATAACAATGACAACGACCGGGCTTAACATATCATAAAGAGGGTCAGCAGTATGGTTTGTTGACATTCCTGTGATAAGCGTAGTAGGTGAAGACTAGATTTTTAAAACCTTATTTGAGCAGAGAGATGCAAGTGTGGTGCAAGGGG